GCCATGTCAAGGGCCAGGTGATTGGAGACTGATGGATTAGGGTCTTCCTGTTCTGGGAAACCACAGCCTGCTCTTCCAGGCAGATGGCCAGGCCTGGGAGAAGTGGTGGCAGTGACATCGGTTCCTGGAGGTGAAGGGGACAGGGAAGGCTGTGTCTTTCCTTGGGAAAATGAGCCCCACGTGCAGCACTTTTGGCTCTGCAGATGTGATGCTTGTTGCCATGGTGACTGTCCTAACAATAACCTCCCAGAACTGATATTCCCCACACCCGCCCCAGCTGCCACCTGGGAGGGAGAGCCCTCCTCGCCGATGAAACCAGCTAGAGAGGATAAGGTGGGAGGCAGAGATGATGCGGGGGTGCGGGTGGAAGAGGGCCCTTCCTGAAGGAGGGCTGGGGGGACGGAGCCAGATGACAGGGCTTCTGGGGCCTGGGACTCCAGAAGGAGTCATGGCTGGGAGCCCTTTTCCCTTCCAGCTTTCTACTCTGCTGGGGAGGAGCTCTCTGAGTCTGGAGGCAGAGAGTAGGTTGTTCTGCGAGTGGGGTGGGGGGTTGGGCTCTGTAGGCAGGGGTAGTCTGGGTCCCTTTGGTAGCTCAACCATTCCCCGCTGTGGTGCCCTGATCAGCCTGCTCTTGCTGCCTTCCTCTGCGTCCTTCCACATCACTCCTTGAACATTCCAGCCCAGACGAGGGGCTACTTGGGGGAACCCCAGCTCCTGACAGGAGTAAAACAGGGGCCTTAAACCACACCCCTTTAGTGATCCTGACTTCTCGGGGAAACTTGGTCTCGGGCAGCCTCCCCAACCAGAGAAAAGAGGGACTTCAACACAGACCACCCAGAATGCTGCTGTGCCCTTGCCCAGGGCTGCAGGACGTGTGCCTGTGTGCATGTGAGTGTGTATTCTGTGTGTGCATGCGTGATGTGTGTGAAAATAAACAAGACAAGGGAGGGTCTCTGGGGCAGGGGGGGTTTGAGTCCCAGCCACTTCTTGGCTGTGTGACTTCACCTTTGTCTCCCCGCTGTCCCATCTAGAGAATGGGGACAATAATGGTATATGCCTTGTGGGGTTGAGAATTAAGTGAGAGAGTATGTGTAAAATGCACGTAAGCAAATCAGTGTCAGCTGTCACCATGATTTTGATGTCACTTCATCCTTCAGCCTGGACTCGTGCTGCAGGAGTGTGTGTGACCTCGGCAGCACAAAGGGTCTAGCGGCAGCCAGGGGGGGGAGGCTGATTTGCCGAGGGGTGCAGTTCTGTTTTGTTTGTTTTGTTAATTGTATTCTATTGCGAGGGACTGTCTTCTTCTTCTGGAGCTCAGAAGGCTGCCGGGCATGCAGGTGAGGCTGAACACCCACAGCGCCTTCCTCCCCAAGACAGGTGGACATCTGCCCATTAGGAGGTGCCCAGGTCCCGG